ATTACTCTTTTATTAAAATGGGTAGGGGCCAGCTAGTTTGCCCTGAAAGATGTCCCAGATCAGGGTGGGGGTTCACTTGGGGCGTGGGGCAGCCTGGGCAAGGGGCCTGTGGTGGTTTGCAGGCCAGCCACGCCTCTGGCAACCTGGTATCTGGGGTTTATTTATCTTTTACAATTGAAACTTTGTAGCCTGGAGTAGAGCCAAGCCTTCTACTTGCTCTGTGGCAGCAGCCATTTCTGTTAGGGTTTATGTATCTTCTATAATTGAAACTTTGTAGCCTTAAGCAGAGGCCTGGACCAGCCAGGGTGTGCAGAAAGTTTGGCTTCCTCCATCACCAGGGCAACCCTAGCCTCTAGCTCTTTTCAGCTCAGGGGCTGCCACATTTCTGTTTGGATCTGTGTATCTACTATCTCTGAAACTTTGTAGCCTTGAGTGAAGGCCTAGGCTGGCAAGGGCAGGTGGAAAACTTGGCTTCCTCCGTTGCTGAGGAAACACAAGCCTCCCTCCTGCTCTCTGTGGCCATAGCTATCTTGGTTGGGTTTATTTGCATATTTGCTCCTGATTGGCTGGTGGACGTGGCTTGTGGGTATATCAGAGTGATGGTTAATTTGCATATTACTCTTTTATTATATAGATGGCCCTTGAATAGTATTATAAATACCCTGATGGCCCTTGGCAGAAAAAGGTTCCCCACCGTTGCTCTAATCCCACCTCTGCTGCAGCCCAGCCTACCAAACCCAGGCAACTGACCCCCAGCAAAGGGAGCAGAAGGGCTCATGCCCACCTCGGGCTAAGGGGAGCTACACCTGGAATTGGGGTCCACAAACTACAGCCAACAACCAATCCCTGCCACCACCTGTTTTGGTGAACAAAGTTTGATTAGAACACAGCGCGTGCAGTCATGCCCACAGTCCACGCTGCTTTCCTGGGCGGGGCAACGGCAGAGGTGACTTTCGTGACTGAGACCAGGGCCCCACGAAGCTCTCCTCTGGGTGCCCTCCCAGGATGTTCTCAGCCCGGCCTGGAGGAGTGGGACGAGTAGCTGAGAATTCGGCCCCCAGGTCCGTCTCTGCCTGGGTTTGTCTCTGAGATCCTTCCTTCCTCTGACTCCTCCCAGCTGTGAGACCTGATGGCTCTGTGCCTCAGTTTCCCCAGACCCCTCACTGAGCTGCTGTAGGATTAACTTAGTGAAAATAAGGCAGGCCTGTTGTCTCAGTCTGAGGAGTATTTCAGGAACTTTAATAAACGAGGCATACGGCCTGCAGCCTGACATGCTTGCTGTGAACACAGGAGTCCACAGGAAGGACCTTTCAGAGGAGGAGGCACCTCTGGTTACTTGTTTACCCCACATAAGCCTGACCCCGAAGGTGGGAAACTCAGGGCAAGAGAAAACTGGGTCCAAGCAGGCCACACCCATGCCTGGTTCTAGGCCCTGATGTGTGTGTGTGTGTGTGTGTGTGTGTGTGTGTGTGTGTGTGCCGGGAAGCAGCTGCTATTTATAGGCAGCCCACAGGGCCATTAAGAACTGTCAGAGAGCTGCCGTGGTGGCATTTTGGCTGCACAGAAACCACAAACACAAACATCCGCTGGGAGCCGGCCATGGAGGTGCACCAGCAGGAAGCAGCAAGTGGCAGGGCTGCCAGCAGGGAGGAGCCCGGCGGAGGCCAGCTGGCCAGCAAAGCCCATCCGGACAGGTGGCCTCCCTGCCCCACGCCCCTTTCCCGCCAGGTGAATAGCATCACCCTCATTGCACAGAAGAGGGAGCCAAGGCCCCAGGACACACATCTAGGAAGTGGCAGCTCAGGTCTGCGGCTCACAAAGCCCACTCTCTCCCCAAGGTCATTGGCCTTTCACTGCCTGATTCTCTCAGGACCGAAACCACCGGAGCGCCCACTGCTCAGCCCTGACATTTGCATCTGCTGGCCGACTGGTCGGCCGCAGGAGATGGTGTGTGTAACGGCGGAGAAAGGGATGCCTGCAGCCCCAGGCTTACTGATGTCCAGCTTAGCATTATCAGGAGAAAACAGCATCCCTCCCCATTCCTGTAAACCCATCTGAGGAAAGAAACTGATTGGCCTTGCTTGGGTGACATGTTCCTTCCTGATCCAATCACAAGAAAACTCAGTTTTGCTTGGCCCAGTGCCCTCGGACAGGGTCAGGGCACCATGGTGGATGCCCCCTCCCCACCCCCCCATCCAGGAGCACAGGTAAGAGTTTAACCTAGAGGAAGGACTTCTACACTGAGGCCTGCAGGGCGAGGAGGAGTGTCCCAGGCAAAGAGGCGGAAGGACGGTGCTCAGACAGAGGGCCTAGCAATGCGGAAGCCCAGGCTGCTCCGGAGAGTGTCTCGCTCACAGCAGTATCCCCTGTGCCTACGGCACAGCCTGCCGTCCCGCCAGGGCTCAGAGAATGCTTCAGGAATGAAATCCATAATTGGCTGTGTGGCCTTAGACACGTCATTTGCCCTCTCTGAACTTCAGCTTCCTTCTCCAGCTGGTAGCTTGATGAGCCTAGCATTCTAAGACGATGCAAGAATCTACCTAAGCATTTCCTCCATGCTCAACTTGTGCAGAGACAAGACCTGCCCGCCATGGGACAAAAAGGGCTTATACACTTGGCCAGACCAATCAGAAGGGGTCCAGGGGGAGGGGCAGAATAAAGAGAGGCTCAAGGACAGAGGGGCCGACAGTGGGCTCTCTAGTCAGGGAGAAGCGGAGCAGTTCTCAACTTCCCACTCCCCATCCCTCTCCCCCTACTTTCCACTCTCCCACCCCATCTTCCTGTGATCACCCACCGAGCAGCCACCCAGTGGGAGCAGAACGTCGCTCCCTGTCCCCTGGCCCCAGAACACCCTAACCTGAATAACAGGTTGTGACATCCAGCAGGAACGAGGAAGAAAGGAACTGTGTGGGGTTTGAGTGGCTGCAGAGGGACTTCTTGTCCACCCAGCCTGCAGTCCTGTCCCTGGTGCCGTGCTCCCTCCCACCCAGCAGGCCAGGCCTGGGCTTCAGCGCCAGAGCAGCCACGGCTGGCCGGGAGAACCACTGGGGACTCAGGAGCGCAGAGCCCTGCAGTGCTGAGAGGGTAGTGGGGGCTCATCCAGGGGGGACAGCAGGCCGTCCCTGTCTCTCCCCTGCCCCTGCCCTGAAGCCAGGGTCCCTGCTTGGCCTGGGCATGACAGCAAGAGGCTAGCTCCCTGCCCAGGTATATGCCCTGCCCCTATCGCTTTCTCTCTCTCTCTCTCTCTCTCTCTCTCTCTCTCTCTCTCTCTCTCTCTCTCGCTCTCTTTCATGTTGTACACAGGTGATAGTTTTTCTTCATCTCTGTTCTCCTCCTTGTCCTAGTCTCTCTTCTGTTTCTGTCTGTCCATCTCCCTCTCCCCTTGTCCTTGCCTCTCTAGTCTGTCTCTGTGCATGCTCCCTGTGGAATATCCACATCTGCCCATTCACCTGTCTATCCCTCTCCCTTCTGTCTGCCCTTCCCTTCCCTCCTGTCCGCCCCAGTTATCCTAACTTCTCCATTCACAGGGGACCCCACAGACTGTCCTTTGAGCCTAATCCAGGTGCCTGAGCTCCTGGACTATAGAGGTCGCCCCTAAGAACATTCAAGTAATACATTTCTATAGGCAGAGGGAGGAGAGGGGACATTGGTCACTTGAATTTCAGGAAGGTAACGTGTACAAAATCTCTGTGGGTGGGGCCAGACGACCACTCTGCTTCTCATCTAGAAGGCCCTGGAGGGGTTGGTGAGCCAGGACAGAGGGTTTTGTAGAATCCTCAAGAGGAGACATGGATTTGCCTTTGTCGTAGCTGTTGTTTAAATATCAACGACAGATCCAGCCCACCTGCCTCAGTGCCAGGTCCTTGGTTAGGCTCGTATCTGGGTCCTTGGCGGTTGGGCTTCGGACCCCATGTCTGTTGAGATAGATTCTTAGGGTGAAGAAGATTCTAGGGGGTTGGGAGACGGGAAGAGCAGTGGAAGCCAGTCGCTGCTGTCAGAGGCCTCAGAGGCCCTGGGCTGGCTGTGGGGAGGCCCAGACCTGGGACGGTATCTCCAGCCCAGCACCTCCAGAGCCAAAGCTGCCGAATCACTGGTAACTGCCCAGCGTCTGGGCATCAGCCTGTGGTGAGGTGGGCCCAAGGTTGACCCTCCCCTTGCTCAGGACTCAGAAGGGGAGGAAACTTGTATTTCAACTCTCCTCTCAGACAAAAATCCCTGGCGGGGGCCCTGTGAGGATGGGGTGGCCAGACACTCACATCCAGATTCCGACTCTGACCCTTGCAAGCTGAGCAACCCTGAGCTTAGCTCTGGCAAGTCTTAGCTACTCCCCAAAAATGCCGCTGTGAGGGTTAAAGCAGATGGTGCAGGCACAGTGCAAACCCACCTGCAATACACGGGCCCTGATCGCTCTTCCTCTGCTCCATCAGCAAAGACCCCTGATGGTGTCCGTGGGGCTCACTAGCTCATGTCTCTCAGCTGAATGGATGGGTGGATGGATGGGTGGGTGGGTGGATGGATGGGTGGGTGGGTGGGTGGATGGACAAGAGAATGGATGGATGGATGGATGGATGGATGGATGGATGGATGGATGGATGGGTAGATGGATGGGTAGATGGATGGGTAGATGGATGGGTGGGTGGGTGGATGGACAAGAGAATGGATGGATGGGGAAATAAATCAATTCTCCAGGAGATGGTGGCTGGCAGACTGCACTTTACTCTCTAACCTCTAACCGTGAAAAAGCCATGATGACTGTCAAATCCCAGGGAAGGAGAGGTGCAGGCAGAGCGGGGGAAAGAAAGCCGCTGCTCTGTCCACGTGGCAGATGGGGAGGCGCCGATCTGAACGCACGATGGCCTCACCCCGAGGTCCGGTCCCTAACATTCAGTCCGGTCACTCAGACCCTGCTCACCTCGTGGAAGAGCCAAGCTCCGGTTCTGAGTTCAGTTTTCTTCTCTCACAGGCGAACGCTGAGCCCGCGCTGCGCCTCCCGGGACAGGATGAGACCATCAGGTAGGACCAGGAGCCAGATTCTAGAGCCCGAGGTTGGGTCCGAGGTTGGCTTGGAATCCTTCTTCTGTCGGCAGCGGCTGCTGTTCTGGCCTCAGAGGTCACCTGGCTGTTTCGGTGACAAGCGTTCAGGCCGGAATTCCAGGAGGAAACCAAGCCAGGGCAAGCCTGGGGATCAGAGGAGGAGACTCCGCCTCCAGGCTGAAGGGCTGGGAAACCTTTGGCGCAGGGACTGCAGTGCGGCCGGGATCATGGGGAGTCCTCAGCTTGGAAAGCCCTGACCCTGATTGGAAATTAGAGACACAATATTTGCTTCAAGGAGACTCTTCCAGAATCCTCATACCACCGGACTGGGCTTGAAGAGAACTTTGCCTTCTAGTCTGTGCCTTCATGCGGTGCCTCCTTTGGACAGATAAACTGAGGCACTGGCTAGGAAATGAACACAGTCCCTGACATCCCAAAACAGCAGCGAGGGAGTTGAGTTTCAAAGCCAATTTACTAGCCTGCCTTCAAGGCCATCCCCATCACTTACTCACTAAGTGGCCACCTCCCTGAGGCTCAGTTTCCACATCTGTAAAATAGGAATAACCAGTAGGACCCAGCACAGGGCTGCTGTGAGGATGGACTGAGATGACGCCGGTGAAAGCTGTTGGCACGGTGACCTGGCACAGAACAGGTGCTGTGTAATCTGATCCCCGAGAGAAAATCCCACAAATAGCCACACCGTGTCCTTGAGGATGAGGGTCCTACACGCCTGCGCTCCGCCCCACAGCATCCAGGAGGCCGACTCGCTCACCCCAAGGAGCTTGGGACCAGCGCAAGGTCACAGAGCTGAATTCAGGGCTGAGGAGAAGCGTGATGTCAACGAGGGGCGGGGGAGGTGGGGGAGGGAGGGTGTCAGGCAAGGAGCCAGGGCTCTGGCCTGGTGGTTGGATTGGATCCGGGAGCAGCAGCAGCCACCAGTGTCCTTGGGCGGGAGGTGGATTGAGCAAAGAGCAGGACCGGGGCTCAGGGCGGCCCATCCCGTGTGTGGGTTGGTCCCCAGCGATGGGAAGGGGTCAGGCAGATGTGTCTGTGAGGCAGGGGAGGCCGCTCTGTCTGGTGTTCCTGTGGAGAGCTGTGTGGTTATCTGTGGCGGCTCCCGGGGGGAGTTGATGAAAACTGTGGGGACAAACGCCACCCCCAAGCCGCCCTGGAGGCTGCCTAACGGTGACAACAATCACATCTCTCCCAGCAAGCATGGGCTCGGGGGCAAGGGTGTCGCCATATTCACTCTGTGACTGAGGGACTCCAACTCAGAGGCCCAGCTCCGTCCGGGGCCATGCAGCACTGGGTGGTGCCCGCACTGGCCAGGGCCCTCCTGACGGCGGCGCAGGCTCACCCCCGGCTGTCTGCCTGTGGCGGGTTCCCAGGCCTCGCCCCTGGAGCTTCTCTCTCTGGGGCACTCCAGGAAGGTGTGTTTCTCACTTTCTCTCCCGTGGCCCCACTTGGGAGACATGGCCCGTCATCGGGCAGCACCACCTCCCTTTCTCATCATCACGTGGTTCACACGGCTCTCAGCTGGGGGCCGTGGGCTGGCCCACGGTGTGGATGTGGCGTGGCCTACAACACGGGGTCTCATGGCGTGGTCCCACCGTGCGGATCAGGCAAGGACTCGCATGCCGTCTCGCCACGTGGCTTTGCGATGCCGTCTGGTGCTGTGGTCTCATGTCCGTGTCTCCTTGCTCTGCAGGACTGTTTCGTTTCCTGGCCTTCATCTTTGCCCTGATCACCTCGTTGATCTTTATCCGCAGCTATGTGAGCTTCGGCATGAATACCACCCGTCTGCCCCGCTGGCTGGGTGAGTGCAGTTCGCTGCTGGGGCAAGGCCTGTGGACCTGGGGGAAGGGCTGAGGATCTCTCCCTCCCTCCATCCCTGGGGACTCCGGAGACATGACAGAGTTGTGGGCTTGCCTTTGGCACCCCGGCCATTGTGGGGTGGGAGGTGAGAGAGGACACCCCCAGCTTGTCAAAAGCCTGGAGCCCATGGGGAACAGAGAAGTGTCCCAAGGCCCTGGCCAAAGCAAATGCCTACTACATCGAAGGCTAGTTTGGAAATAAGACCCGAGAAGGAAGGCAGAGAGAAGGAGAGCAGAGAGGGGATGAGGAGAGAACTGTCTGTGCATCGAGTGGCTTCCCCCTGCACTGGCTGTCCCCTCCGCCTGGGACCCTCTTCACACAGATCACCCTGTGGCCAGCTCCTCCTCAGCCTTCAGGTCTTTGCTCAGATCTTACCTCTTTAGATGCCTTTCTGACCTCCCAGCTACAGCTGCATTTGTCGTCAATGTCATTTATTTGTTTTTCACTTGGTTGTTGTCTGTCTCCACAACAACCCATGGATACATGGGTGATGGATGGATGGGTGAATAGATGGGTGGAGGGATGGGTGATGGGTGGTGATGGGTGGAGTGATGGATGAATGGTGATGGGTCATGGGTGGGTGATGGGTGGAGGGATGGCTGAATGGTGATGGGTGGTGATGGTTGCTAGCGGCTTTACAGTCATAGTCTCATTTAATCTGCACAAAGGCCCCCAGGGTGATCCATGTTGTGGTTTTATGTGTGGTCTGAGAAAACAGAAGCTTCCAAATTCCCCTTGTAGATGTCAGAATAGGAATGGGAACCCAAGACTCCCAGATCCAAATCCTATCAAAGGCAGGAGGGAAAGGGAAATGACTGACACCTCTGAATTTGTCCTCCTGCGATGGCAGTCAAACATAGTAACAAGTAGCGGCCCAGGCCAGCCCTTAGCTCCACAGCAGCCGGAAGCCAGGCACCCTTCCTAACACAAGCTCCCCACCACGGAGTCTCAGAGGTCCCTCCCCTCATCTTCTTGTCAACACGGTTTACACCCGTCAGGATGATTTATACAGATGCATGCTGGCCGCCATGGCCCCAGCCCAGAGCACTGCTTTTATTGACGAGATTGGCCGGGCTGCACTGACGGCCTTGGAGGAGATGGGCCCAGGTCGGTGATGGAGGCTCAGACAGGAGTTGAGTCCATGGGTTTCCTCTGGAAGAGGGAGCCCCAGCCTGAGGTGGGAGAGGAGACAGTGTTTGAAAAGAGACCCCAGAACTCAACCACTTGGGGTTTGACAAATCAGTACCTCCAACCAAAAGTATCAAGTGACTATTCTGTTAGGTCCCAGACCCTGAAGTGAGGACCCACGCGCCCCCCCCCCCCATCACTCCACCTCCACCCTGCCCTCTCCACCCCCAATCACAGTTTGAACTGGGGAAACACAGAGACCTAATTACAGAATATACAAAATCAAGAGTGCATGATCCTAAGTCCTGAGAAATGCTCGCAGTGGCAGGAAATAGACCAGTGGGAAAAGTAAACTTCAAAACCCGTTAGTGTTGCCCTAGCCAGTTTGGCTCAGTGGATAGAGTGTTGGCCTACAGACTGGAAGGTCCGGGTTTGATTCCGGTCGAGGGCAAGTACCTAGTTGCAGGCTCAATCCCCAGCCCTGGTTGGGGCATATGTGGGAGGCAACCAATCAATGTGTCTGTCTCACATCGATGTTTTTCTCTCCCTCCCCCCCCCCTCTCTCCACCTCCCTTCCACTCTGTCTAAAAAAATTAATGAAAAAATGCCCTGAGGTGAGGAGTAACAACAACAAAAACACATTAGTGTCCAGCGCAGGAAGAGGTAACGTTCAGTTACTTCAGAGATCCTTACCCGGCTACACAGACCCCACCTTGTAGATAATGCATTAATATAGAAGCACATGTATTACTAGGATACACATTATCTTCTAATATGTTGTGATATATTGATATAAGTTTGTTTCCTTTCTAATCCAATCTATTTTGTTTTATGATTTGGTAACTTGCAGTCTGTTATGGTCAGAGGTACTAAGTGCCTCAAGAGCATTGGGAATAAATGTATTCATCGGCTTTCCCCAACCACCACAGGTCCCTGGCACCGAAATCAGGAGACTAAGAACTCCTGGTCTCCTGGCAAACTGGGCAGGGTCTTTCTCATGGGTGTGATGAGCCCACCTCTAACTGGTTGAAATGTAACGGGATGCCTGTATCATGTGACTAGGGAGTCCATGGATAGTGGGCTTCAGGTGTGGCCGGACCTAGGGGCCCTCACAAAGCTCAGAGTCTCCGTGTCCTGCTCTGCTGGTTGCTCCTTAACCTCCTCCCTGGCGCTTTCTCTCAGGCAGGCGTGATGGCTACCAGCTCTCCGTGCTCATCTGCCCGCTGAGCTGAGACACTTCCCTCTCCCTCGGGGCCATATCACCCTCTCCTCGCCCCTGGGAAGGGCTGTCCCGAGGAATGTAACATCAGGATGCTCCTGCCTGGGTCCCAGCCTACCCCTGGAGTCTTGGAGGCGGGGGGGACACTCCAGGGTGAACAGCCCCCGATGACCAAATGGGAAGTGTTTCTGTGGGCCCCCCCGAAAAGGAGAGTTCCCACCCCTGTGGATGTCTGTGGGGGCCCTGTCTGCTAGGACTCAACTGCCAGTATCGGGGAGACCTGCGGTGGAACCCCTGTGAATGAGACGTTAGAAAGTGACCACGGCCCTGCGCCCGGAGCAGACAGCCGGGGCGGGGGATCAGGAAAGGGACACTCTGACCTGACCAGCCGCTGCTCCGCCCGTCACCGAGGCCAGGGCACCAGGCGCTGGGCGGGACCCTCACAGCCTGACCTCGCTGGCTGGGCTCCACAGCCTGCGAGGGGTGGCGGCCTCCACGTGGAGTCAGGGGGAACCCACAGCCGGCACCCAGCCAGGAGCAGGCTCCAGCTCCGCGGGTCTCTCACAGAGCCCGGCTGCTTTCAACCATGAGAGTCGTGTGTGTGTGTGTGTGTTCATGTGTACATGTGTGCTTGTGTTAGTGCATGTGCCTATGTGCATGTGTGTATATGTTTTATGTGTTTGTGTGTTTGTGTGCCTGTGTGTATGTGTGTGTTTGCCTGTGTATGCTTATATGTGTGCACATGTGTATGTGTGTGCTCATGTGTATGTGCGTGCTTGTATGTGTGTTCATTAGTATACACGTTTGCCTGTGCTAGTGCATCTGCATGTGTCTATGTGCATGTATATTCGTGCTTGCATGTGCATGTAAGTGTATGCTTTATATGTTTATGTATTTGTGTGTATGCGTGTATTATGTTGTTGTATATGTGTGCTTATATGTGTGTGCATGTGTGTGTGCAGGCATGTGCGTGCTTGTGTGTGCGGGTATGTGTATGTGTGTGCTGGTGTGTGTGTGTGTGCACATTTGTGTGTGCTGGTGTGTGTGAGAGAAAGAGAGAGAGAGAGAGAGAGAGAGAGAGAGAGAGAGAGAGAGAGAGGGAGAGAAGGGGTATCAGTGGCAAGTGAGGAAGGACAGCCAGACGAGATGGGACCTTTAGCTCATTTCAGCACCTGCCACGGGAGGGGACTCGGCTCAGCCAGGCCAGCACCTGTCAGTCCCCCTTCCCACTCCAGCCCCAGCCCGGCCTCCACCCTGCAGGGAGGGCCTGAGCACTTCCTCACTAAGCAGACTCTTCTTCTCTCCAGCAGGCCCAGGCTCCGAGAAGAAGATCGGTATGTGTCTCCCAGCACCCCCCTGGCCTTAGTGAGATGCTCAGGGCCTCTAGCCCCAGCCCTCAGGTCCCAGAAAAATCTCCTTTCCAGACCTGCCCGCCTCTCTCCTCCCACCGCCCACTGCGCCTTCCGGCCCCCTGAGCCCTGTGGCAGGGACGGCCCCTTCCAGCCATTCAGGCTGATAGGAATGGCTGAGCTGTCCCCTTCCCCACCCCACCCTGCAGTGCAGTCTGGGCATGTTGACTTCCTCCCACCCCCACCCACTGGGAGCCCTGAAGGTGGAGGCTGTACTATTGTCACCATGGCAATGACCACAAGCTTGGCTCAGGGTTGCTGCAGGGGCCCCTGAGGGGGTGTGATTATCTGTTGGGGTAGAAGTGTCAATTGTCAAGAGCAGTGGGGCAAAGTGTTCTGGGCTCCAGGAGGGCCACCCCTGCCCATGGGATGGGTGGCATCAGGGAGGAGGTGACCTTCAGCTGTGCCTTGTGGAGGCGGGAACAGCCTATGCAGAGGCTCAGAGGCAGGAAGGCTGAGGCTCCCGTGGAGACCTTGGCTGCAGAATCAAGGACATGAGTAGAGAGAGCACTGGGAGGGCAGGAACGCTGACACCCCAAATGCTGGACATGCAGATGTCTAGCCCCCGGGTCGGAGGAAGTGGAGGGAGAGGCAGCTATGATGATGATAATGGTAACAGTGATCAAGGGCTAATGTGAGCCACACAATGTTTTCAGGACTTTACAGACATCTCATGCAATCCTCACCACAGTCCTGTGTGGGTGCCGTGGTAATTATCCCCATTTCATAGAAGAGGAAACTGAGGCTCAGAGAGTGGAGTGAGAGTCAACCTCGCCATCTGGTCCAAAGCCCACGCTTTCAACACCTCCTTACAAGGGGCAACACCGCCAGGTCCCCGGCCCCTTCTCTCTCACCCAATGCGGTGCTGACCAAGAGGGAAAGCCGCGCCAGGGGTGGGACTTGACCTGATTGGGAGGCCTGAGGTCCAGAGCCCTGTGAGGATGAACACAAACATTCACCATGCACCCCACTCCAGCTCCCTGAAGCCTCCGCGGCCACCTTCTGAAGTAGACACGGAGTCACAGCATCGCTGTGCTGAGCGGACACTCTGACGCCGTCTGCTGGGAAGCTGGCAAATGCAGGCACTCCCGTGCTGCCCACCTTGCCCGCTCCCACAGTGGGCATCACCCACCCATCCCCATGAGAACCCAGTGGGGAAGCCACCATAGTTATCCCATTTCACAGATCAGAAAGTTGAGGTGCAAAGAGGTTGAAGACTTGCCCAAGGGAACCCACTGGTGAGACATGCTCCTACCCACCTGCTAGGGCCCAGGAGGTCACCGGGGCCTCTCTGGAGGAGAGGGCACTCAACAGGCTGCTGTGGCCCAGAGGAAGGTTCTGGAGAGAATCTCTTCTTCACGGTGCCTCTGGCATTGCTCCCCACACACTGACCGCTGAGGGAGGCACTGTGTGGGCCTGGGGCTGAGGCTGGGGCTGCGACAGGAAACCCAGAAACGAATTCTGGGTGGTCCTGCACACAGCTGCTGCCACCAACACTGGTCTGTTCCCTCCCCAGAGGTCGTGAAGATCAAGTGTGACCTCACCAAACCCTGCCCAGACAACTTCTTTGCGTTTAAAATCCTCAGTGGGGCCGCCAATGTCGTGGGCCCCTCCATCTGCTTCGAAGACCACATGTAAGTACCAGGGGGCTCCCGTGCTTCCTTTCCTTTCCTTCATTCGCTCACTCAGAGGCCCGCCCACACCTTCCACACACTTCCTTGTACTCCCAGTGGGTGAGCCCCAAGTCCCAACAACCCTAACAGCTTCCAGGTCCGCCAGCACCCTGCTCACTGCTCACAGCACCGCCTCATCCGGCCCCCCACACTCCCAGCGGGAGGTGGCGGCTGTCCCCTTTGTAACAATGAGGAAACCGAGGGTCAGGCAGGGTCCCTGGGCGAACTGGTGGTGGAGGCAGGACTGGATCTCAGGTCAGTCTGACAGCCACGCGGCTGGGCTTCCCACAAAGGGAAGTGCCTCTGAGGAGGATTCAGGATCAGGATCCAGGTGTCGACATCAGGATCCAGGAGGTGCCGGGACTCCCAGGTGCAAGAGGAAGAGCCGGGTGGTTAAGGCCCCGGGATGGCAAGCTCACCCTCGGGAAGGAGCCCGAGGCAGGGGTTTTCGCCCGGAATCTGAACCTGCTTCACTTGCTCAGGCAAAGCAAGGGCCTCGGTGGTTCATGAACCTAAAAGGCCAGAGGCCGTGGCTTCTGGGCAGCTGCATCCAGGGGTTCACACCACGTCATCAGGGCTCCCTCTCCCTCCGTCCCCAGCTCTGCTTTCCTTCCCTCAGTGTGTGGGAAGAAGGGGGGCCACAGCTGGTCCGCACATGGGCCCGAGCCAGCACCCCGTGGGGGCGAGAGCTTCCACCTGAACTGCCCCGTGAGCGTCCCCAGGGCGCATGGCTGTGCCCGGCCTGCACTGAGGCCAGAGGCTGAAGTCTGGGAGGGAGGGCGGTCCTAGAACCACCGGCCGGAGACGGAGGCCAGTGTTCCCAAGGACACGGAAGGCAGGAGGGGGAACCTGGGTCCTTTGCTCCGAGCCCGAGTGACTCCTTGGAGAACCCAGCCCTCCGCCGGGTCCGAGAGGAAACACGGCCTGAGCCCTGCCGGGCACCTGCTGGCGCTCTGCCTGGCACCGCGTGGGCCTCTCCGAGTGCCAAGCGGCAGAGCAGTGTTCACTCCGCACTGGGACCCACCGTCCTGTTTTGTTTCCTTTTCTCCTTCAGGATCATGAGTCCCGTGAAGGACAACATAGGCAGAGGCCTGAACATCGCCCTGGTGAACGGTGAGCTGCTGGGCCCCCCTCAGACCGTCCCACTGTGGAGGGACGTGGGGGGCCCTGGGTGCACTTATTCAATCCCTGCCACGTGCCCTGGGTCAGCCGTGGTGTCAGGCAGGCAGGGAGGCCCGCGGGCCTGTGGGAACAGAAGGTATGAAAGGCCTGGCCCTGCCGTGTGTGTGTGTGTGTGTGTGTGTGTGTGTGCGCGCGCGCACACACACACCCACCTGCCCCAGGAGACATGCTTCTCCCTGGGGTTTAAACGGACACCATGAGACCTTCAGAGACAAGGGTGACAACATGAGCCCATGGCTGGGCGCACACCTTCATTCATTTATCCAGCCACGTCAACAGCCGCTGGGGCTGGTCTCAGAGCCCCTTCAGGCTGCAGAAAATGCTCCGGCCGCCACTGACCAGGCTGAAACCTGCTCGTTTTCTCTCCTCTCCAACTGGGCCCCTGCCCGAGAAGACCTCTCAAAAAATCTCCGAAGATGGGGGTTCAGGGACCTTCTTTCCCACCTCACAAAGTCCGAAGATGAAAACAAACAATCAACAATACCAAAAGCTAGCATTAGTGAGCATTCACTACGGGCTCGCTATTCCATCACCTGCTAGCATGGCACGATGCTCAGTGTCCCCATTGGCAGGTGGACAAATGGGAGCTCAGAGAGGTTAGGGCGTTAGGCGACTTGCCCCAGGTTACACAGCCAACCACATCATCTAGATTTTAACCCGGATCTGACTGGCTCCGGGTCTGCATCACTCAGCTGAGCTACCTCCCTAGACTAGAAATTTCTCCGCCCATGTACACAGCACCTACTGTATGCCCGCTCTGCACAAGGTCAGGGCCTCTGCACAGTGAGCCAGAACAACACAAGGACTGCCAAAGGCTGGTGCTTTGCAGCCTTTAAGGGGGCAGTTACTCTGAGGAACTGTTCAGACTATATCTCCTCCCTCTGGTTCCGCCGATGCGCATGGTCTCGGTTTAACAGGGTCACATTCCGGTCCAAGAGGCCCAGGTGAAGTGCCCAGGGGCTGGGGCCGCAGTGGCTTTCTTCAGGGCCATGTGAGCTCCATCCCCCACCCCACCCTGGGCCCAGCCCCCACTCTCTGCAGGAACCCTGGACCTGCTGTTGGGTGGTGGGAGGACGGACCCCCGGCTGAGACTATAGCGCTGCCATCCCCTCTGCAACACCTCCATCTAGTGGCACAGAGTGAGACTGCACGTCTCTTCCAGAACACAGGGTTCTCCGTAGGCCTGGACCCTTTATAGAAACCACAACACACAATCGAGATTACTGAACTCAGGACACCGCGTTCGGTTCACCCCACTGCAAATCCCTTTCCCTTTAAGTGTCAGAGGACTCAAATTGCAGAGCTCCGATGAAGACGGGAATAAAGATGACAATTGTGGTTATTTTCATGACTAGTTTGTAGCTAAATTGTATTTTGCATGCTGACTATCTACTTTAAATACATCTTATTTGGTTCCCAAAGCCCATTGTTCAGATGGAAAAAAAAAAAAAAAAAAAAGTCAAAATGCTCAGTGGGGCATTAGGAAGTGGAAAGTCAGAACACAGACCCAGATCAGTGGAATTCTGTTCGATCCAGGAGACCTTCCTCCATTATGTTGTACCATTCACATCAGCTCAGAAAGTTACTTAGTCCTGCATGCTTTCTTCAGGACCTGGTTTTGTTCCATTATTATTCAACTAGAGGCCCGATGCACGAAGATTCATGCAAGAACAGGCCTTCCTTCCACCTTCACTCCAGGCCAGAGCCGCCTTCCGCCTCTCGCCTTGTGTCAATTTGCATATTCCCTTATGATTGGCTGTGGGTGCGGCTATCTTTATCATGGAGTTAGGGTCAATTTGCATATTCCATCTTTATTAGATAGGATCTTTAGACCTCACACTAAAGAGTACTCATCTTCCAGCAAATGACGGGCAGAATGACACAGCACAGCAAATAACAGTTCTGCTCTCTCACCCCTCAGGAACCACGGGGAAGGTGGTGCGACAGGACAGTTTCGACATGTACTCCGGAGGTAGGTGGGCGCCTCTGTTGTCAATGAGGTCACGGGTGGGCGAAAGAGCTATCGGGGTGCCGGGGGGCCTGGCTCGTGTTTCCACAGAAGACAGCCAGAAGGAGGCGTGGTGGGGGTTCACGCCGTCCTGCAGCCTTAGAAACGTGGTGATCTCCCACGGTGTCAGCGGAGAAGTGAGATGGGGGAGGGAAAGCAGCCAGCACATGTGTAACCAAGAGACTGAACACGGCAGGCAACTGGAACTCGGGGGCCAGAGTCGAATACACGCCTCAGAGATATCCCCAGCTCCCACCCCTCATTCCGTCGCACTTCCACACCCTGGCCTGGCCCAGGGCACAAAAAAAAAGAGTATGGAGGCCAAAGAAGACCTTCTGGCAAAGACATGGTGGGGCTGGAGTTGAAGGCCAGACATGTGTTCAACTGACATGCTAAGAACAAGGGATAGGGCCCAGTTTGCTCTGCTAGATAGAGGTGTTTACTTATTTATTTTTAATATATTTTATTGATTTTTACAGAGGGGAAGGGAGAGGGATAGAGAATCAGAAACGCTGATGAGAGAGAAACATCAATCATCTGCCTCCTGCGTGCCCCCTACTGGTGATTTGTCCGCAACCAAGGCACATGCCCTCGGCCGGAATCGAACTTGGACCCTTCAGTCCGTAGGCCGACGCTCTATCCACTGAGCCAAACTGGTCAGGGCGAGGGTGTTTGTTTTAAGGCCACCGGGGTGCTTAGTGGGTGCGGCCTCCTGGGCCCAGAAAGGACAGCTGTGAGGCGCCCACTGTCGTTCTGCAGTGTCTTCTCTCTCTGCGCAGACATGCTTCCTGAGCTTCTCTGACACGGCCACCCCCTAGGACGTCCAGTCCTCCTGGCCCTGAGCAAAGCCAGGCCCCTGCACAAGTTGCTCCATATCCAGAGAGCCATCAGCATCATTAGAATTTCCTTTAAATCGTGCCGCTTTTAAATCTAAATACAAATATCGTAAAAGAAAATTATATCATTGTCCTGAGTAGAAGGACATTATGGCTTTTTTGGCCATAAAAGTAAGCACAACAGGAACAAATCAGAGTCCTTGAGGAAGCAGGGAGCTGGTGCCCTCCTCGCCCCTCAGCCCAGCCTCGCCTCGGCCGGCTCTGGGTCGGATGCAGCGCCTTCACAGTGCAGGGCGGTGAGAAAGGTGCAAATTGGACGGGGCCTGCTCCTTCATATACACAGGCGAGTTGTAGGAGCCCAAATCCTCTCTCTGTGACCAAGTTACTTGCAGTCCAGTGAGTGTGCCCCCCAAGGACACCCAAATCGCTAACTCAAAAAGACATATGTACCTTAGGTTCATTGCAGCGTTATTTACAATAGCCAACACACAGAAGCAACTCAGATGTCCATCAATAGATAAACACATAAAGAAGATGTCATTATTACCCTGAAATGTTACTCAGTGATATATTACTCAGCCATAAAAAAGGAATGAAATCCTACCATTTGTGACAACAGGGGTGGACCTGCAGGATATTGGGCTAAGTGAAATAAGTCAGACAGAGAAGAATCCTGTACGATTTCACTTATATATGGAATCTAAAAACAAACAAACAAAAAACAGAAACAGACTCACAGACACAGAGAAAAGCCGATGGTTTTCAGCGGAGGGAGGGATGGGATGACCGAAGATGGTGCCGGGGAATAAGATTATAACTTCTTGTTATAAAACAAGTAAGTCACAGGGGTGCAATGTGCAGCTCAGGGAAAATAGTCATTAATGTTGTAGTAACTTTGTACGGTGACAGATGGTTAGTAGACTTACCGTGGTGTCACTTCATAAAGTATATAAATGTCAAATCACGGTGTTGTACATGTGAAACTAGTATTATATGTTAACTATACTTATTTTTTAAAATTAAGTCAGCAAGACCAGCGAGGCTCCTAGCCACTGCAGAAGGGGGTGTTGGGGGCGGGGGTGCCAAGAGCCCCGGGCTCCTGAGAGTCGACTGACCTCCGACCCCCAGTGGAAGTCCCCAGGGCCCTTCCACTAGTAGTTCTCACCCCAAATGCACATCCGGATCACCTGGGAACTTGCAAATTCCATAACTGGGGCCAGACCACCTGAGGGGGGCGCCCTCACCCCTCAGTGCCACTCCTGGGTCACCAGGGAGGCCACTCCTGGGTCACCAGGGCAGGGTGTGAGAATGAGAATGGCCAGCGGTCTCTCCCTAAGTGACCACACCTTGCTCTCCTTGCTCCCCAGATCCTAAGCTCCTGGTGAAATTCCTTAAAGCAATTCCAGAGGGCGTGCTGGTGCTCGTAGCCTCCTACGATGACCCGGGGACCAAGTAAGTGGGAACCCACCTGCAGGGGGGGCGGGAGCCAAACCTTCCCTGCCCTCTCGCTCCCCACCAGCCCGGTCTTCCAGCAGCTTCTCCTAAGGGAACCGCAGACAAGCGCAGAGAGAGGTTCTAGGAAGTTCATTGCAGCCATGTTACAATTGTGATGAACTGGACACGTAGTTACAGAAACCAGGGCATGTGGTGACATACGACACGTTTCTATATACACCGAGGAGGATATACTGCATCAAAACGGTGATGTAGAAAACAGTTAAGGACATGGAAGGACACTCATCCTTTAGCATTTCTTATTTCATTTTTGATTGCAGTTTGTAATTCAACACTGTTTTGTCCTGTTTCAGGAGTTCATCCCTTAGTATTAAGTAGGGGGAGAAGCTGGTTACAAAAGAGTTGGTATAATCCCCCAACACATGGGGGAATTATAGGATCCATGGTCACTTCCTGGGGTGGCTCAAGGACATGAAGGAAATGCATTAAAACTTTACAAAGATGGTGTCCAGAGGGCGAGGCTGGAAGTAATTTCTGTTACTTTGTGATGTTCCACATTTTCCGAAGGGACGCCGATTACATCGTAAACAGGAGTGAACTGTTCTAACACCTCCCAGCTCGCAACCCCCTAATCCCCATCTGCCTTCAGAGAGGCGTCCCGCAGGCCTCGCCCCCCCCTCCCCGCTCCTCCTGGCGACTCGCAGCCTGTGCCCCCACCGCCCCCTTTCTCCGGGCCCAGCTGACCGTCCTCTGTCCACTGCAGGATGACAGATGAACTCCGGAAGCTCTTCTCCGACTTGGGCAGCTCCTACGCCCGGCAACTGGGCTTCCGCGACAGCTGGGTCTTCTTGGGGGCCAGAGACATGAGTAACAAGAGCCCCTTTGAGCAGGTGGGTTCCTGGTGACTCCCGTCCCAGCGCGTGAGGGGCGGGGCCCGGGTGGATGGACAGTGGGGGGGGAGGGGTTGGGGAGACACACAGGGTAGTGTGGGGAGGGCCATCTGGCTGTCACCCACCCCAGAGGTCAGGGTGGCCTGATTGGCTCATCCCAGAAGTCCGTGGTGTTCACCACTTTGCCAGGATATTATATAAACGCATAGGCACATGGCTGAGCACCAACAAGGACGGGGAGGGGAAAAGAAGGGTAGCAGGCAGGTGAGGCGTGGAAGAGAGAGAAACAGATGTGGAGGTGAAGCCTGCATGGTGTGGGGCGGGGAGCCCAGCACAGGGCCCAGGATACTTCATCTTCTCCCCTTGTCCTAGGCGGTCCCCATCTGTGCACCCCTGCCCAGAACCCCTCTGAAACCTGGGGGGCCTGGCCAGGCCTTCCCGGGGTGAGGAGAACGCTCAGCTCTGCCCAGCTCCGAGACGGGGCACTGAGGTCACTGAGTCAGACATGCAGGGCCACTGAGAGGACTCTGTCCTGGGGGCGGTGAGGAGCCATGGGAAGCTTAAGAGGGAGAGTGGCAAGAGCAGATGGATAAAGAACGCCTAGCATTCAGCACGTTCCCCCAGGGTCCTATTTAGGAGCCACCATAAGGTGGGTACAGTTATGTCCCATCTCACGGAGGTGAAGCAGAGCCTCGCAGAGGCTGTAGCCGGTTGCTCGGTTGCTCAGTCTCGGTGAGCCAGATGGAGTTCTCAGCCACACCTGTTGCCTCCACAAAGGCCTGCTGTCCTGCTGCTTTCAGAACTGGCAGCCCTGGCTGAGCCTGGAGGGCCCTGTGGGCGGGACCTCCGAAGGCAGGGAGGAGACACCGGCGGCCGCCTGGAGGGCCAGGGCTGCGGAGGCAGACGGGCAGAGGCGGAGGCAGACGGGCAGAGGCGGAGGCGTGTGCTGAGGCCACCATGGGGCTGCAGGTGTTTGCCTTGTCTGGAAAACGTGAGCCTGGCTCATAGGCATCTGCTTCTAAGAGAATGCATCCTAATTAGAAGTTACTTTTTAAAAATAAGAGAGAAGACAAACTAGCTGGAGGTGAAAGGAGATGCGCCTCTGGGTGGAGAACACGGGAGGCAGGGTCCCCAGAACATCCCTGTGGGAGGTACGGGGTGGGGGGAGGGGAGGCTTTCTAGGAAGATGCAGGGCAGGTGCTGTTCTTCCTTAAAGCACAGCTTCTAGACCATCCAGACAGCAAAGAGGAAGCGTCAGCACCATCCTTTCCCTGAAATGTATGATCAGCTGACTGAGGCTCATCACCCATCAATGAGCTGAAGACCCTGATGGGTGAAAGCCATCGTGTCATGTGCCCCCACAGCTGGGAGCCGAGTTTTAGAGGAGCAGCATCTAGATTCTGTTCTTTCGAACCAAGGCTTAGCCACGACCCTTCCAACCTAGGTTTGGCCATTTACAATTTTTTCCCCAGAAACTAAGCCTGGGCATTTTAGACACAATCTTAACCGGTTGTATCCCCTTGGGTATGTAGCAATTATAGGAATTAATGTTACACGGCGGTTCCACCACGTACCAGCAGGATGGCCATAAGATGTGCCTCAGTGTCCCCATCTGTGTCACGGGATGTTAATAGTGTGCACTTCTTAGGGCTACTATGAGGATTAACTACCTAAGATACTTCACACCTGACATAGAGCAAGCCTTTAATAATTGCCAGGAAGCTTTTTTTTTTTTTAATTGTTGTTATTAGTTTGGATGCTCCAGAGAGGTTGGTAGAGGAATTGGGAGAGGGGCCTAAACTCTGCAGTCCCACCCCCACTCTTGGTGTCCCCATCGCCACCCCGTGACAATCAGTGACTAGACTCTGATCCCATCTCTGAAATCTTGGGCAAGTTGCATCCCCTCTGGGGCTGTTTGCCCAGACTAGTAGTACTCAGCCCTGTCCACCAGGGGGCGGTGGTGAGAATGAAGTAAGTGAGCACCAGGCAAAAGCAGGGGTGAGCTCTGCGCAGCCTCCCCATTACCGCGGCCTCTCCCTCCTCTCGCCTCTAGCACTTAAAGAACAGCGGCAGCAAGAACAAATATGACGGCTGGCCGGAGCTGCTGGAGCTGGAGGGCTGTGTGCCCCGGAAGGTGTTTTAGGGCTGCGGCTCCTCCTGGCGGCCGCCAGCCGGACTGGATGGAGCTGAAGGACAGCGGGCAGCGGAGGAGGAGAAGGAGGAGGAGGAGGAGAGGGAAGAGGAGGAGGAGGAGGCCGGGCAAGCAGCATGAAGGTGCTGAGGATCCCCGCACTCTCGGCAGCTTCTCCTCCCGGCCACCGAAAGCCCCGATGGGCGATGGGCAGCCGTCCCGCCCGGAGGTGGCCAGCCTCGGACGGTCCTTCGGAGCCGCTGTCGGCGGAGAGAGCAGGTGCTTTCCCTCGGGGACTCTGCCCGTGGCCCCGAGCGAGGGCGGACTGCCGCACCGGGCGGAATTAAATTGTGTTTTGCTCATGTTGAATGACCTTTCTCCCTGCAGCCTTTCTCCCTGGGATGGAAAAGGCCTGGATGGGGTTGCTTGGGCTCCACGTTCAGACAGGGCAGTGACAGCTCCCGGGGCCTGGTCTGCAGCCAGGAAGGAGGCGGATGGCAGAGGGGGGTTCCCTGCCGGCAGGAGAGATGCCGTGGACCCCAGCACAGGGTGTGAGGCCCCCGAGAGCAGAGCGAGGGCCGGGCGCAGAGAGCATGCACCTGCTGCTGGAGAGGACAGGGAAGGGGCAGGGCGGGAGGGATCTCACAGGGGCCTGGAGGGCAGGCCTCAGGGGGGAGTGTCCTCGCTGTGTTCACCAGGTACCCAGGCGCAGCCCTTGGGTTTATTTAGAAAGTGATTCTGGAAAACAGAAGAGAAGGAGCCCATAAAGACTGTGAGCGAGTGGAGCTAGCCCATGGGCACACCCCAGAGATCTCTCCGGGAGCACCGGGAGCCGGGGTCCTCGCGCCTCTCCCCTCGGTCACAGGCTGCTAGTGCCCGTGGTCGTCTCACCATGCTTGGCCCAGAGCTGTCCTTCCCGCCTCTGGCGCCCATGGTGAGACCCACGAGATCCGGTGCTGGCCCACCCGGGGCCTCTGGGAAGGGCCAGGGACCCAGACCCGGTCCTGGGAGCAGAAGGCACTGGCACTCGGGCCTCTGGCTGGTGTGGCAGGAAGGCTGGAGGCTGAGGGAGATGCCCACCCCAAAGCGAAAACACCCCAGCAGGAGCCCCACAGAAGCTGAGTTCCTGAGCCCATTGGGGTGGGCTCACAGCCCCCCAGTCTTTGGGACAGAGCTGTGCTGAGGGGACCTGGGAGGAGAAGGACAGGTGTGGAGGCTTTGACAGGGCCATGGCGGGCGGGACACGGGCTGCAGGCGCAGTGGGGTCAAGATCAAGGTTAAAAGCCTGATGGGCGCTTGAGCAGGTTTGGCTGAGGAAGGAGCGGGCAGCTCCATAGACCCCTCCTTCGGCCCTCGGGGATGAGAAGGGGTGGAGAGGTTTCTGGCAGCCCCAGCCAACCACTCACACTGACACCACGTCTATATCCAATGTGATGCTTGCAGCTTTGTAAGCAAAACAAAAGTGCTCCATTCCTCCCATGGGGTCCCAAGCGGCCAGGCCCCTTGCCCATAGTGGACACCAGGTGCTGACAAGGGGTTCCCACTGAACCCCAACACCTTCCTTCCCGGCCCCCAGGCCTCTCTGAGTAAAGCTGACACCTGACCGAGCCCCTTCTTTCCCCTCAGCCGACTCACTTGTTCTCATGTGCAGTCACCACCGCAGCTGGGCCGGCTCCGAGCGCTGGCTCTGCTGCCCGCTGGTATGAGCAGGTCAGGTCTCCCCCCTGAGCCAGCTCCCCCTTTGGAAAACGGGAGATTCTATCCCTTCCTCAGGCGTTTGTGGGCATTAAATATGATAAAATAGCCACATCACCAAAGGTGGTCAAAAAATAGAAATAAGTAATTGGAAAACTTCTGACCAGATACCTACTCTGGAATGGAGACGGCAGGAAGTTCCCTTTGTCGCCGTAAAGCACCTCTGTGTGTTTGGAGACTTTTCTTTACAACAAGCAAGAGCGCCTCATGAAATCCACTTGTGCGCACAGCAGTTCCTCCTCGGCTCAGGCAGAAGCTGAGGCGTTGCCTGAAAGCTCCCCTTTGCCTGTTGCTTCCCTTCCCCATCCTGCTGCCCACTCCCTTACCGTGTCCCCCAGGGTCCAGGCCTTACTGAGTCACTTCCCAAGATTCCTCTTTCTAGAGCCGGCTTCTGGGGACCCCTCCTAAGAGAGGCAGTGGGCATGGCCCCTGGCTGGGCCTGGGGTGCAGGAATTGCCGCTGAAGTCAGCTCTCCAAGGGAAACGCTCGGAGTGAGGGAGCTGCCCTGCTGGGGAGCCGGCCAGAGAGGCGCCCGCTGCTGCTCACTGGGAACACGAGGCCCAGACTGCCGCCATGCCCGCCCCTGCCCCACCCCGCCGGGGGCAGGGTGGCCATCCTCTGGGTGGGCTACGGGAAAGGAGCCCAACAGGCCGTCAGCAGCCACCAGAGCCCACTGGGGAGGCAGCATGCTAGAACCAGCCCCCTGGTCCCCCTGGGGTGGGCACGCAAAGTGGCCAGCATCTGCCAGGGCACTACAGGGACACCCCCCCATCGCTCATGATTGGGGTAAGTCAGAGCCCAAGAAAATGGCTGTAGACAGTTGTCTGTGTCATTGAGCCAGTCTCCTCGCTCCTCTTTGTTCCTCACCTGCTATGTGTCAGCAACTAGCTGACACGGAAGCACTGCAGTGAAGACACCCAGGCACAGTCCCTGCTCGGGGCCTGGAGTGGGGAGAGCAGACCGAGAGCAGATGGCTTGGGAAGGGCCACCTCGGAGAAGGACTGCAGAAGCAGGGAGGCGTCCTGGAGGAAGCTTCGGGAACGCAGAGAAGGTCACCAGCAACGGGGAGGAGGAGTGTGCCAGGTAAGGTAACGGCAGGAACAAGGCCTGGAAG